GGGGGAAGCAGGCTCCCCGCTGAGCAGAGAGCCCCATGTGGGGCTCGATCCCAGAACCCTGAGATCATGACCTGAGCCGAAGGCAGAGGCTTTAACCCACTGAGCCTCCCAGGTGCCCCTGCCCTTTAGCTTTTGAAGAACCTTGTGAGATATGTGTCCTTCTCTCCATTTCACAGATTTGGAAAGTGAACTTCAGACACGCCAGGCCTCAAGGCAGTTATCACCTGCTCATGGAGACCTTCTTGCCCTGATCCCCCTGATCTAGGTAGTTCCCCTGCACCCAGGTCACTCTTAGCGTGTCTTGAGATTCCGTGTTCTTCACAGTACTTGTCACTCTCTGAAATGATCCTACTCATCAATATATCCTGTTGATGGTTCCTCCACATGAAAGCGGGGGTGGGGGGCCTGTTTGCTTTGTCACTGCTGTATCCCCATTACCTAGGCCAGTACCCAGCACATAGTAGACAGTAAATATTTGTTGATTTTGCTCTACTGTCTCCTTTTCCACCAGTCTCCCTCTTCTAGCAAATCCATTTATTATCCTCCAAGAGAAGTTGCCATCGTTGACATCATTTATATCTGTTCTTTGTAACATATACCTTCATTCATCAGGCAAAGTTTGAGTCAGTAAAATTTAAAATTAAATAGTTCCTATACACGAGCACTTAGAGCAGCATGATTTACAATAGCCAAAGGGTAAAAACAACCCAAATATCCATCAACAAATGAATGGATAAAAATTTAATGTCTGAAACATTTATTTTCAGGGATCATTTCTGTAGTTTGTTAAAAATATGTCATGTCCATATGGTAGAGTATTATTCAGTCAAAAAAAAAAGGGGGGGGGCGCCTGGGTGGCTCAGTGGGTTAAGCCACTGCCTTCGGCTCAGGTCATGATCTCAGGGTCCTGGGATCGAGTCCCACATCGGGTTCTCTGCTCAGCAGGGAACCTGCTTCCCTTCCTCTCTCTCTGCCTGCCTCTCTGCCTACTTGTGATCTCTCTCTGTCAAATAAATAAATAAAATCTTTAAAAAAAAAAAAAGGGGGAGCAGTGTACTGACACCTGCTACAAATAGATGAACCTTGAAGCCATTATGAAAAGTGAGAGAAGCCAGTCACAAAAAGGGAAATACTGTATGATTCTCTTTATATGAAATGTCCAAAATAGGCAAATCCATGCTGACAGAAAGCAGATTAATGATTGCCAGGAGCACCTGTGTGGTCATTGGGTTAAGCATCTGCCTTTGGCTCAGGTCATGATTTCAGGGTCCTGGGATCGAGCTCCAAGTCAGGCTCCCTGCTCAGCGAGGAGCCTGCTTCTCCCTTTCCCTTTGTTGCTCTCCCTGCTCATTCTCTCATTCTCTCTCTCTCGCCAAAAAAAAAAAAAATGATTTCCAGGGACTAGGGGGAGGTGGGTGTGAGTAATGGCTGTTGAATGGGTACAGGGTTTCCTTTTGGGTTGATGAAAAAGTCCTAGAACTAGATAGTAGGATGGTTGCACAGCATTGTGGATAAACTTTTGAATTTTAAATGTCACTGAATTGTATGCTTTACAGTGGTTAAAATGGTAAATTTTATGTGTATTCTCCCTTACCGCCCCTGAGTTCATGTTACACCCAAACCCAATAAGGACATTACAAGAATGGAAAAATTTTGGCCAGTCTCTCTCAATAAGAGACATAAAAATCTTAAATATTAGTGAATCAAATCCAGCAATAAATACATAGAGTAATATATTACCTTCAAATTGATTTTATTGCAAGAACGCAAGGTTGGCTTAATATTTGAAAATCAATTTCTGTAATTCACCACATAACGGAAAAAAGAAAACTCATTGATAATTTTTTGAAAAGCAGAAAATAGCATTATTTTTAAATTTAGTATTAATTTATAACAAAAATTCTTGCAAACTAAGAATGGAGGGGACTTTTCTCAATCTAGTAAAGCATTCTTTAAAATTCTACAACAGGGGCACCTTGGTGGCTCAGTTGTTAAGTGTCTGCCTTTGGCTGAGGTCATGATCCCAGGGTCCTGGGATCAAGCCCCACATCAGGCTCCCTGCTTGGCAGGAAGCCTGCTTCGCTCTCTCCCACTCCCCCTACTTGTGTTTCCTCTCTTGCTGTCTCTCTCTTTGTCAAATAAATAAAATCTTTAAAAAAAAAAAACAACCAAAAGCCCTACAGTAGATACTAGAGTGAAATATGAAAAGCTTTCTTCCTGAGATAAGGAATGAGACAAAAAGATGTTTGCTATGACCACTTCTAGTCAGCGTTGTACCAGAGGTCCTGGCAGGTGTTATGAACACCAGGAGCTGGAAGAGGCAAAGAAGGATCCTTCTTTAGGGCCCTCAGAAGCCCTACCAACACCTTGGTTTCAGACTGCCAGCCTCCAGAATTGTGAGAGAATGAATTTCTGTTGTTTTCAGCTACTTAGTTTGAGGTGATTTATTATGGCAGCTGCAGAAATTATACAGTGAAGGTGTCCCGCAGTCGGAGCTGCTGCGGAGCGCGGGAATGAAAACACCCCCTTCAGAGAATGGCTTGATAGTGTCATATGCCGGGTCCACTTGTAGGCACCATCTGTTTACCACGGCAGCTTCACTGCATATGCGCTCCAAACCGAAAGCTACCCAAATGTCCATCAACAACAGAAGGAATAAATAAATTGGGTGTTTATAAAATGGAAATTATACAATGAGAATGAACTATGCCTATATACAGTGTCATGGATCGCTCACAAAAACAATACCGAGTGAAAGAAGTCAGACACTCCACAGAGTATATATTGAGTACATACACGATTCAAATTTTAGAAAATCCTGGAAGAGATAAAACTAACTTTTAGATACAGAATCATGATGATGTTTAAGGAAAAGTAGTGATTGGGTGGAGGCGTGAAAAGGGCTTCTGCTAATATTCTGGGTTACGTGTGTTTACTGTGTTAAAATTCGTCAATTGCAATTTATACAACTTTGTAGCTATATTTTTATTTATTTATTTTAAAGATTTAATTTATTCATTTGAGAGTGAGAGAGAAAGAGCACAATAGTGGGGTGAAGAGCAGAGGGAGAGGGAGAAGCAGACTGTGCGCTGAGCAGGGAGCCCGATGTGGGGCTTGATCCAGGACCCTGAGATCATGACCCGAGCTGAAGGCCGATGCTTAACTGGCTGAGCCACCCAGGCGCCCTTTATATTTTTATTTAATAGTAACTTTTCTTTAAAAAAAAAAAAAAAGACTAAATGTTTTAACTTACTGGGACGTCTTCACCTTTGACATTTTGTAGACTTTTCCCAAATAGCTGCTGGTCCACCATCCTGATGTGGGGTTCATCCACAAAGGACACATATTTTAATGTCTAGGGAAAGAGAGTTAAAAATTTTACCCATTTTTGTACAGAACTGTCAACAGTCACATACCTGAACAGGTGTAAAGGCAAGTGTTATTGCCACTTACCAAATGACAAGCTGCTAGAAGCTGACCAAAACTCTTACTAGCCAAGAATGAATGATTTCTGAGTCCCAAGGTGACTCAGCAGTAGAACCCTATGCACTTTACTATGTGGGCTCAGAGTCTCCAAAGCTTCCTCCCTAATGATTTTAGGTCTCCCATGTGCTATGTAAAAGTCCTCTGTTATGTTCCCTCTATTTCAGTAACTCTACATCGAGTATCTCCTGAAAATTTTACTGTTGCAACTTAAATAATTTATATTTTTGTTTAATTTCATCCCATCTTGGGCCATGAAATGGTGATTATTTTTAGTTGCAAAAATGAGCTTTCATTTCAGATTGTATAATACATGTCCAAGTGGCCAGTGAATTGTGCCTTCAGGCTGCTGAGAAAGGACAGTAATGTTCTTAGGAGGGAAAGACAAACCCCCTTTGTGGTTTGAAGTACTGGAGATTTCTCCTTGATTAGGGGAAATCATGAAATCAAGTGTAGAGGACCTGCTTAGTAGAAGCCAAATTAAATCAAAACAATCCAGATGAGCTCAAATTCCATCTGATTTTTCTCCCATCCTAGGTTCCTTTGCAGAAGGAATCACTGTTGTCACTTTTGTGTGTGTCCAATAGATTTTTGTATGCATATATTATCCTCCCGACACCTGTTCATGTGTACATGTAATAAATATATAAACTATATAGGACATATATAAAATGTATAGAATGCATGCATGTATTTATATGATTATTTATACATGTAATGTACATGTAGAAAATTCATAGGATGAATTCATATGTGTAGTCTTTTAACCTATATACCACACCATATATATTGTTCTATAGTTTGTTTTTTTCCTTTCAACCACACGTTTTGGATATTTGCTCATGCCAGTACCTGTAAGATAGAGGTTATGAAGATGAATTTTGAAACCAGCCTGCTGGAATTGGAGTTGGAATTCCAGCTCCCCCACCTACTAGCTGTATGACCACAGGCAAATTATTTAACCCTCCTGCACGTCAATCTCCTCATCTTTAGAAAGGTGACAGTAGCACCTATTTATAGGGTTGTTGAGAAGAGCCAATGAATTAATATATATAAAGCACTTTGAAGTGCTGTACAAACGTTTGCTCTTAGTATTCGCCACATATTGTTTTAAACCAGTGCCTGGCGCTCCTTGCTATGGGCTGGTCACGGTTTCTTTCACCGTCCGCCAGTTGGACATTGGGTAGATGCTCTTCCTTGAGGGTAGGTATGGAGAAGTGGAAATGCCAGGCTGTAAAGTGTGTCCCAGCTCAGTGTTATTAGATATTGCCAAATTGTTCTCCAAAGTCGCTCTTTTTTTTGGCTGTACCAATTTAATAAATTGGACAAAATTGACAAGTCCTAGAGCATCAACATTTGTTCTCCCTCTATCTTGCCTCTTCATTTTTGTTTCTGTTCTTCCCTAAGACCAAAGCGTTCACCTGAGAGGTGGTGGATCAGGGTAGAGTCTAGAGACTCGTCCTCCGTGGGCTTACACCTGTGATTTGGGCCTTATTTTTGCATGTTTCTCAGTGATCTGACTGACTCTCTGGGTTATTCAGCACCTGCTGATGCAATGACGCTTACCCGCTTTGGCTCCACAATGGGCTCACCCTTCTTCCTGTAGTAGTATTCATTGACTGCACAGTATTTACAGCACTTGAAAGAGGGATAGATGTGGGATCGACAGCATGCGCTTGAGTAAGTGCAGATGAGCAAGTCGATGATCACAGTGACCTGGGAAAAACCCAAATCAGTGCCATGTTAGTGAGATTTCTTTTTGCCACATTGCTTTCCTAAAGCATGGATGGAGAATCTCTTACCAGACCAAAGTAGGAGAGGACTGAGCCAACGTACACTGCAAACTGGATAATGTTAAATTTTCCTCCCTGAAAACAAATGGGAAGGTGACTTGGTTGACATTCAGAGCAGTGCCCTTTTGCTCTACCGTGTAACTGTCAGCTCCAGCAGAGGAGGGAGTCTGTGGTCACAGCAACAGAGACTGCACACTGAAAATAGGTTTACTGTTCATCCTGTTACTGCCTTCTGGGATGCGCTCGAAAACATGACTTTTAAACAAAGAACAGTGGAACCCACACACTGAGTTATTTTTCCAAACAAGGTGAAAGTTTCAGACAAGTTTTCCCTAAAAGTGGTTTGAGATTACCTTGGAAGCAGAGGGAAGGAATGTGTGCACACTCTTCCCTTAGGTGTCCTCGTGGTTTTTCTTCTCAATGATCTTTCCATCCTCTCAGCTTCTATCTCATTGACTCTTGTGTTGCTTACCACCATATGACATAACATATAACATAAATAATACAGTTTTGGACAAGGTGTTGTGGGCATCTGTGGATTTTTGCATGCCCAGCATCCCCTCCCTCCTTCTTGTGGAGGTGGAGACAACACCCCGTTTTCCTTTGGAGAACCATCTCTGTCTATACTTGGTCCATATAGTTTGAGGGGAAAGGGCTGGTTCAGGGCAGGGCCACGACCGGCCGTTGAGAGTATGGTGTGACCTAAACATAGTGATTAGTTCAGCACAGGGCATGTGGCCCATATTGGGCCAGTCAGAGCCAATGGCATCTGCCTGAATCCTTTGCCAAATCTTTTAGCAAAGAGATGTTCTCTTTTTTACTGAGACTGCTGGGCCAGTAAGATATAAGGAGCTGCCTGAAACCACCCTGTAGACATGGCCAGCTAAGGATGATGCCAAAACAAGGGAGAATAGATGTAAGGAATGGAGAGAGGCAGATTCCTAAGGATGTTGTTTGAACATCTGGATCCAGCAATGCCTGAAGCCTGAAAACTGCCCCTCGATTTTTTACCTGTGTGAGATTTAAAAAAAAAAATATTTTTTTTTCTCTAAGCCTATCTGAGTTGGATTCTGTTACTTATAAAGTATTTTGCAAAAGGATTTCTTTCTTTCCCTCTCTCTTTTTAAGCATCAGAGTATTTTTAAAGTCGAATATCCAGTTTTTTTCCCACTCGCACTCTTGTACTCATTAGATGACTTCTTCATGGACAGGACCCCAAAGACATTTCTTCCCCCTCTTATCCCACAGGCAAGATGCACAGTGCCAGCTAATGACTATGACCGAAACATTCACCCCTCGAGGCACTACAGCAATAATTAGGACAGTCCCAGGAATGGAGGTGCCAGTGGCTGGCAGCAGAGACTTACGATGCCAAAAACCAGAATGTCAAAACGGATCCCGAAGACTTTTATCAGAGTCCGTTTTTCAACGTTGTTTTCCTTGTAGTACTTGGCGTATCTGTAGGAGGAGAAGGATCCATGTATATAAAGATGTGTCTGAACGTGCTGGTATTTCATGAAAGGAAAACCTAAAACAGGAGCCGAGCGAGTCTTCCTTGTTCATCTTCTAGCTCTGCTGCAGTTGGCAGAGGGAAGAACATAATCCAAACCCACAAATTACTCTCTTGGAACCAAAGCACCACTTCCCACGTTGCCTCCTCTTCTTCCGCCATCACACAGTGATACAAAATCTGCTTTCCATTTAAGATTAAAACGAACAATTTTTAACCAATTCAGTATTAACAACAAGTGGACAAATTAAAAAAAAAGTTTTAGATAAATTCAATGATTTCTTTCTTTTTTTTAAAGATTTTATTTATTTGTTAGAGAGAGAGAGAGCATGAGCACAGGCAGACAGAGTGGTAGGCAGAGGCAGAGGGAGAAGCAGGCTCCCCGCTGAGCAAGGAGCCCGATGTGGGACTCGATCCCAGGACGCTGGGATCATGACCTGAGCCGAAGGCAGCCGCTTAACCAACTGAGCCACCCAGGCGTCCCACTGTCTTTTTTTTTTTTTTTTTTTTTAAGATTTTATTTACTTGACAGAGATCACAAGTAGGCAGAGAGGCAGGCAGAGAGAGAGAGGAGGAAGCAGGCTCCCCGCGGAGCAGAGAGCCCGATGTGGGGCTTGATCCCAGGTCCCTGGGATCATGACCTGAACCAAAGGCAGAGGCTCTAACCCACTTAGCCACGCAGGCGCCCCTAAATTCAATGATTTCTTAAGGGAGTTTGGCTTCTAGAACAGAGTGGGGTGGGGATCCTAGTTAGTAATGGCCGGATTGGGCCTAGTTGCCGTTCAGCCATCTGCTCTAGTTATATTTTCTTAGATTCTGTATTTGTCCATTTGCACCTTTTATCACCAGGCAAACTAACAGCCGCGACTGTTTACATCTTCCCTGTAACCCAGCTTTGGCAAGCACCTGAAAATCATGTTACAGACCCTCTGGCCAATCCCATATCCATATCCCCAACCACCTCCTCTCTCTAACCCTCACACACCGAGCCAATATTTCCCCTGTGCCAGGTCACTCAGGGCCAGGTATCTATAGCGAGAGACTGCTCCTGTGGCCCGAAGCATGCCCACATTACTTAGGCAGGCCAGTCCTAGGCTGTTGCCCTGTCCTGCGTTGTCTGTCCCATGGAAAACACAATGAAGGTTCTGGGCCCTGCTTTTCCCTTGATCCTTCCATTTCCTGACCAACCCCAGTGCTTCCCCTGTGGCCCTGTGTGGCATGGTGTGCCCCTCCTCTTTGGAAATGTAAGAATAAACTTCTTTCTGTATCAGTGACCTCTCCACATCATTACTCAGCCACCTTTATAAATTAAAACTCAGGCACAAATCACCATCGCCCCCAAAGACACAGCTCTCACCAGTGTTACAGTCAGGAAGAGCAGAATGTTTTGTTTTCATGGATAATTAGGAAGGCTTACACCACATAACACAAGCCTTTTCAATCTATCCCTCCCCCTTACCACCTTTCAGAGATTGTTTTTAGGTAAGATATTTTCTTTCTGAGTTCTTTTTTTTTTTTTTTTTTCTTTCTGAGTTCTTAATTCGCAGTCTGTTTACAGGTGTGGAGAGAGAAGAAAACAGAAGACAGATGCTCTGCCAGAATCCAGTCTGGAGCATTTGAAACTCCTGTTTTTTTAAAAACTCTCAAAATGGGATGTTGAGATCCATTAGATATTCTTAGTTGCTTCAACACCTATTTCTGGCCAGAGGGGTTTTGATTTCCTTGCCTCTGAGTGTTCCCATTCCATGACTGTTCTTTCTTCTGCTGCTGTACTGAGTGATTTCTTTTTGAATACACAAAGCAAAGGGTCTTAGGACAGTGATTCTTGAACTAAGGATAAGAATCGCTTGGGAAGTGTGTTCAAAGGTCGATTCCTGGGCCTCATCCCCCAGACGGTGGTTTCAGAAGGTCTGAGATGTTTCTGGAAAGGTTCCAGGTGGAGCTGGTGCACATGGCCAGTGGTCTACACTCTGAGGAACACTAGGCCCTGAGCAGAATGTTTTTTGGACACCGTAACGTTTTGAATAACAGCTCCCCAAGAAGATAGGTCCAAGTGCCTAACCCCTGTACCTGTGAGTATGCCCTTATTTGGAATAGGGTCTTTGCAGATGCGATGAAGGATCTTAAGATGAGATCATCCTGGATTTAGGGTGGATCCAATGATTGGTGTCTTTATAAGAGAAAGGAGAAGAGAGTTGAAACAGAAACACAGAGGAGAAGCCCACGTAAAGACGGAGGCAGACATTGGAGTGATGCGGCTTCAAGCCAAGGAACATGGGGAACCATAGGAGACTGGGAGAGGCAAGGAAGGATTTGCCCCTAGAGACCTCAGAGATTGTGTCCCTGCTGACTCCTTAATTTTAGACTAATGGCCTCTAGAGCTGTGAGAGAATATGCTTCTGTTGTTTTAAGCCACCAGGTTTGCGGTCATGTGTTACAGCGGGCCCGGGAGACTGACACGGGCAGAGGCCCACTCTGAACCAGAGAAGTGCGTCGGGCCTGCAGTGTGGGCCTGCCCTGCTTCATATGTGCTGTAAATAAATGGGACCAAATGTTTGTCGAATAAGGACCTTTTGCCGTGGATCTTTTGGTAAAGGACAAAATTTTGTAATGTGATCAACTTCTTCAACTTCCTATGTTTTAGGAAGTTCTGTTTTTTTATAAAACTCATATAACCTATAATTCCCTTTTCTCTCTCTCTCTCTCTCTCTCTCTCTCTCTTTTGTGGCTGTTTGCAAATAACCTGTCCAGTTATCCATCAGAACTTGACAATTTATTTCGGGCCAAAGATTGCTTCTGGCTCATTCCAGACAACAAATGCTCTAACATGTTGTTCCAAAAGAATATTAACATCATAACCACTTCGGTTCTTCAGAAAACTCAGATCTCTCCAGGAGCCAGTGTTCTTAGGCTTACCTCAGTGACTCAAAAGACATTTGCTAACTTCTATTTGGGACATTGCCCTGCCTGCTTCTGTAGACTGCTTAAAAACAAAAACAAAAACAAAAAACAAAACCCAGCCTGTGAAGGCAGTCAGGGGCCCACTGATCCAATTGTCTCTTCTTGCTAATGGCCATAAATCTGTTCAGTAGAGCAGCAGGGGATATCAAAACGTTACCTCAACTAGGAGCTGCTTTCTGGGCCCTGGATGAAACTCCACTGACCCAGAGGAGGCGAAAAGCATCCTGTGTCTTGATCTCAGCTAGCCTTTAGTCAAGGGTCTCAAACTCAAATGCCTACAGGGGCCAGGCAGGTGACAGAAATGAGTGATGCAGGCCAGGTATTGGGCAAAAGGGAGTGATGGGGACCACAGCAAACAAACAAACGCACACATGCCCTCTAAAGGAAACCACTGACCCCTCCAACGGAGTGCTGCTGTGTGGGATATGAATCCGGAGTTATCAAATGGCTTAGTCCCCACCCCCACCCCCCTGCCAAATAGTTAAAATTTTTGAGAAAAATAAGAAGTCCAGATTTTTACGTAGAATGTCTCAACTTTCAAAACATTGTATAGGCAAAAAACAAGTAAACAAAAATAGACACAGTTGAAGGCTGCCTGCCAGTTTATGGTGCTGCTTCGGGTAAAATGTAAAAAGACCCATTTGCTTGAGCCGATCCCCTCCAGAAGTCAGTAGGAATGTGAGCAGAAGTGTTAGGAAGTAGTGAATGTATGTGTGCACACACACGGGCACTTTTGCCTACACTTCAGTGTACAGATTAAGAAGCCGCCTGATTTTACGCACTTCCCCAGGAAACTGGCAGCCTGGTTGTAGAGACAAAATGTAGTCGGGTGAAACCTCTAAGGAGGATGTATGTTTGGGGTGCTAGATGATCTAGTCTAGACTAGTGCTCCTCAGACATCAGTGTGCATGGGAATCTCCTGGGAATCTTGCTCCAATGCAGATTTTGATTCAGTTCAAGAGTGAGGGCTGAGATTCTGCTTTATAACAAGCTCCCAGGTGAGGCCAGGCTGCTGGTTCCAGGACTACGTGTTGAGTGCGGAGGTTCTAGATCGGTGGGTCTCACACCTGAGAGGCTCTCACCCGGGGTCTTGTGAAGGTCCCTAGGGTGTCTGATTCAACAGGTCCAGGCAGAGCCTTCGAATGTGCATTTCTAACACGTTCCCAACACGTGATTCTGATTCTGGGCGTTGCACTTTGAGAATCACTGGTCTACACTGTTAATACTGGTATTAATAAGGTATTCAGAGAGGCAAAAACTAAATTTTCCAAGGCAATTCCCCTAACAGGGGCTCCTGTCTGTGCAGTCTCTCTTCCTAACTAGGAAAGCACAGGCCTCAGAAAAGCACCCGACATTTACAGGGGTCCTACCCTCTGCTTGGAGAGGCCTTCTCTAGTCGCTTCCTCCACTCCACCCCCCTGCTCCGCCCCAGCCTTGCAGTACAGTATCTTGTCTGATTTTCTTCCCAGCATTTATCATCATCTGAAATGGTCTTATTGGAGCTGTTGGCAGTATTGAGGTATGGTTTACATATAATAAGGCACACAAGTCCTAAGAGTTGATTCAGTGAGTTTTGACAAATGAATACACTGTATAACCTGTACCCCATCAAGATCTAGAACATTCCATCGCCTCTGAAAACTCTCCTGGGCTCCTTTCCAGTCAGTTTCTATTTTGCCTCCCCCATCCTGCACTCCCCAAAGCAGCACCCACTGGTGTCTTTTATCATCACAGGGAAGTTGTTTTTCCTATTCCTGTATTTCATATAAATGCCGTCATGCAATATGGCTCGTTTCAGTCTAGCTCCTTTCACTCACTATAACGTCGGTGGGATTCCTCTATGTTGTTGCATGTGCAAGCATGTTCATTTATACTAACTAGCGCTTTACTGTATAAATATACTACAATTTATTTCTCCAGTCACCTGTTGGACATTTGGGTTGTTTCTGGGTTTTGGTAATGATGATGAAGGCTGTTGTGAATATTCACGTACGGATCTTTGTGCGGACCTATGTTTCCTTTCTCTACCTAAGGGTGTGGTTTCTGGATTAGAGGACAGATGTACATTTAACTTTATAAGAGACTTCCCAATGGTTCTCTAATGTGGTTGTACCATCTTATACTCCCCCCAGGAAATAGGAGAGTTCCAGTTGCTTCTCCTCCTTGTCAGCCTTTGGAATTGCCAGCCTTTTAAAACATTTTACCTATTCTGAGGGGGATATGTAGGTATTTCTCATTGTGGTTTAAATTTGCATTTCCCTAATGACTAATGATGTTGCCTTGTTGGAGTTCTTTTTTTTTTTTTTTAAGATTTCACTTATTTACTTGACAGACAGAGATCACAAGTAGGCAGAGAGGCAGGCAGAGAGAGAGGAGGAAGCAGGCTCCCCGCTGAGCAGAGAGCCCGACACGGCGCTCGATCCCAGAACCCTGGGATCATGACCTGAGCCGAAAGCAGAGGCTTTAACCCACTGAGCCACCCAGGCACCCCTTGTTGGAGTTCTTAATTTACTTATCTTTTTGTCTTATATGATATATTGACTTATACTCATGTCCTACTAGAATATAAGCTAAGTAGTAACTTTGTCCATTTTGTTTACCAATATATACCCATTGACACAACAATATAGTTTTTCTTTGATATATATTTGATGAATGAATAAATAAGGAGCACCAATATCAATTTCCTACTGGCCTCGTAGGCAAAGTGATTGTAGAACCGTTATTCTAGGGATGTAATTGGCAACTCTTTTTAGAAAGGGAACAGCATAAGCCTACTTTGTATCTGGAACCGAACAGCACAAAAGGATCAGCCATAATTACAACCGCCGAAACCTGCCTGGCATCCACAAGCAAGGAGAGCTCATGGAAGCTCAAACTTAAGGGCCAGGTTAGTGCTGGGGCAGAGTTGTAGCAACAGGCAGAAAAAATGACCCAGTCACAGGAGGTAACACGAAAATGAAATTAGGATGGCATAGGATCACTACCGGGGAGAAGTTAGGAGCAGAAGCGTAACTGCGCAGAGGGTCAAAACAAAAGTAAGGTCAGCACCAAACCAGCACCAACCAGTTTCATTGGTGAAGATGAACCGGGAGTCTGGTCAGCTCTTACAAGGTGGAAGTCCAGAAGTAAGCAGCTAAAAGGTACACTACAAAGAACCTTAAAAGTCAGGCGAGGCTGCAGGTCGGGTGGCAGTGTGGCCTCAGGCATCTTGAAGATGTTCTTACCAAAAGGACTTCCAATCAAAGTGGCAACCTGAGTGCTGGCACTGGGACACCCACCACCTCCCACTGCACCCAAAGAAATGCAAGATAAGGTGTATTTTTAAAAGTCATATTGATGTATTACTGAGCTCAGAACAAGGAAGAACATTTTCTAGGTGCTAGAATGAGTGGGGAGTGGGAACTGGAGCCATGTTTGGAGTCTGGAGTCTGGAGTCTGTCCCATAGGAGGACCCCAACCAGCTCTGTATCTGGGGAGCTCCAGCCTTACCCTAGAAGTGTAAGGGAGCTGAGGCTGCGGGAGCCCTACCCAGGGAGGTAGCAGGGATAGGATAGTTTTAGCAGGGTGAAGACATCAGCGCCCAGAAATTAAACCAAAAACTGGTTGATAATTGGTAGATGCCATACAGTCCTGCAGACTGCAGCATTATATGATCGCCCCAGAGGAATGCCTCCGCACCCATGGCACACACAGAACTTTGCACAAGACCTTTCCTGCTGAAACTCACCAAATACTTCAAAGCCTTGGAAGAAGAAATCCCACCCAGGTCACTGCAGATAATAGGTCAGTGTGAAAGGGGTTATACAGTAGGACAGACAGAAGGAATAGGATCCATAAGGTCAGAATGGACCTCACTGAAACAGTAATGGATGGCTTTGAGAAAGAACTGATAAACCCGAGAAATGAAAAGTTGAGGCATAGGAAAAAAATTAAAAACCTGAAAGTGTATGATAAAATGTTACTCATCTTTGATCCAGTAATTCTACTTCTAGAAAGTCATCCTAAGGAAACAATCTGGAACTCAAAGATTTATGTGCACAAATGTGCGGTGTAGAATTATTTGTAATAGAAAACCGGGAGGCACCCCAAATGTCCAGTAATGGAGGAACAGGCAAGAAAACCATGCGATGGGAGGAAAAGCATGTGGGTTTGGGGTTCAGAGTGACCTAGGTTATGGAGCCACTGTTAGCTGGGGGTCCTGAGCAAATCATTTCACCTTTCTCAGCTCTACCTGGGAACAATAATATCCACCTTCCAGGGTTGATGTGAGATGGAGAGGTGATGACTTTGAGGGCCTGGTTTATAAAAAACCCACCCTAGGTGGTGCCTCTTGTTATCGTTATGCTCACACAATGGGATAATTAACGTGATGGTCACGAGGAATTCTGAATGACCCTGGGAATGACAAAACACACACAAACACAGAATACTGGGTTATACATGTGATCTGCTCTCAGAAGCCTCATGAAAGAATTGGTTAAGGGAAGGAAAATTCACCAGCTATCTTTGGTTATCGCAGGGTTGAGGAATTATGGGTGATTTATAGCCTCTTCTCTACGTTCTTCTCTGTTTCCCCAATTTTGTTCCTGTTTTACAAAGAGGGTTTATCACTTTAATAATTAAAAAAGAAAAAAAATTCATACAAAAATCCAGTTACACCTAGTTCTTAGAGGAAGCTTTCTGCATTCATCTTGTTGCCTTGGGAACCAAAATTAATTCTCACTGACTGCTGGAGATGCAATTCAGCAGGGCCTGGAGGTTTCTGGGCACTGTTACCTGAAGTTGTAGCCAGGGTACAAGGACTCATTGGTGGTCTTGTCATCAAGGCGACGGAAGGTGTATTTTGGGCGGCAGTGATGGAACCAACTGTCCAGGTTGCAGTCCCAGTAGATCTCAATGCCCATGATCCCTCCCTGGGGAAGACAAGGAGACAGTCTTTAAGCCCTGCTGCACGTGGGACGCAGCCACCAGACCTCTCCCTGCATAGGGATGGTCACTAAGGGAAACGTTTTTTTTTAAGAGGGAAGCACAGATTGAAGTTTCAGAGCCATAGCACAGCCCCATCTAACACACACAAGTGGCTGCAAACGCATCTCCCTGCTCGCATCTCCCTGCTCGTCCTCCCATCTGGGACACGCCCTCGTATTTATTTTCCTAAAATACAACTTTCAGTAAATCTCTTGCATAATCTAACACCTTGAATGGCTTCCTCCACCCTCCCACCCCATTAAAGTTTAAGTGGAAGCTTGTTACACTGGAATTCAGGGAACCCCATCACATATCTTTTCTGTTTTACCTCCTAACACTCCCCTGGAGAAATCTCTTATTTCACCCTATCCACCCTTAGCCCTCAACACAATTGGCATTTTCATTCATTTTTCTTTTTCTTAAAGACTTTATTTATTTATTTGACAGAGAGATCACAAGTAGGCAGAGAGGCAGGCAGAGAGAGAGGAAGGGAAGCAGGCTCCCCGCGGAGCAGAGAGCCCAATGTGGGGCTCGACCCCAGGACCCTGGGATCATGACCTGAGCCGAAGGCAGAAGCTTTAACCCGCTGAGCCACCAGGTGCCCCTCATTTTTCTTTTTTTATAGCACAACTTATATATTTCAAATGGACAAAAAATTAGTATCGTTTACAGTATCTTAAGATAAATTGCCTTTGAATGGGAGCTTCCTTTCCGGTACTTTGAGGTCTACAAGACGTATCTAGAAAATATACTACTGTGGAAAATGACTGCTTAAATTGAATGGGGGAGAGGGGAGGGCCTGTGGTTTCTCTTTTTGATTAATTGCTGTAACACTGTCCTTCAGGTGGCTGAGGGAGTTTCATGTTTTCTTTAGACATCATTAGGCGCCAGAGCTCTCGCAGGACAACTTTGATGCTACATGAATTCTGCCATTTTGCTAGCACTGATATGGCTCTTGGGTCCACCACTCCATTAGAACTATTAACTCCATTCATATTAATTTTTGTTAACATATCTTACAAAGGGGGGTACGGGGTGCCTGGGTGGTTCAGTGGGTTAAAGCCTCTGCCTTCGGCTCAGGTCATGATCTCAGGGTCCTGGAATTGAGCCCCGCATCAGGCTCTCTGCTCAGTGGGGAGTCTGCTTCCTCCCTTCTTTCTCTCTGCCTTCCTCTCTGCCTACTTGTGATCTGTCTGTCAAATAAATAAATAAAATCTTTAAAAAAACAAAACAAAATAAAGGGGGGGGTGCTTCTGGGTATTTAGGTCCACATTCTATTTTAAGGCTGTATATTCGGTTTTCATAAATTGTTCTTGGAGGCCCAGTTATCATCCCTGTCCATCTTGTAAGTGTCATGTCTTCGTCATCTTCTAGACCCCAGCTAACTGTGCCATCTTCCACTCCTTTCTGGCCTTCTTCCAGTTCTTCCAACAGTCGAAAATTGCGAGGGACTTTTACTCCCGAGTCCGTGGTGGCTGCCATCTTGCATCGCTGTTGCTTCATTTTTTTAAAACAGCTTTATTAAGATATAGTTCACATACAATTTGTGCAAGTGTATTTAAGTGTATAATTCAACTGTTTTTAGTATATTCACATATATGTGTGACTGTCACTATAATAAATTTTACAGTTTTGTTGCCTCCAAAGAAACCCCTAAACTTTCATCAATGCCCCTTTCCACCCCTCCTATCAGCCCTAAGCAACCACTAATTTACTTTCTGTCTCCATAGAGTTGCTTATTCTGAACTTTCATATGAATGAAATCATATGTGATCTTTTATGGCTGACTTCTTTTACTTAGCATGATATTTTTATTTTTATTTATTTATTTTTTTAAGTAGTCTCCATGCCCAGTGTGGGGCCTGAACTCACAACCCTGAGATCAAGACCTGAGCCAAGATCAAGAGTCGGATGCCCAACTGACTGAGCAACCCAGGTGCTCCCACTTAAGATAAGGTATTTTTTTTTAAAGATTTTATTTTACTTATTTTAAAGACTTGAGAGAGAGAGAGTGCGTGAGCCAGAGGAGGAACAGAGGGAGAAGGACAAGCAGACTCTGTGCTGAGACAGAGCCCAATGTGGGGTTCTATCCCAGGACTCTGATGTCATGACTTTAGCTGCAAACAAGAGTTGGAGTCTTAACTGAATGAGTCACCCAGGCGCCCCTTAGCATAATATTTTTAAAGTTCACCCATACTGTAGCCCATATCTGTACTTCATTCCATCTTATGATGGAAGACAATTCCATTGTGTGGATAGACTACATTTGGTTTATCTGTTTATCCTTTGATAGACATTTGGATTGTCTCTGCCTTTTGGCTATTATGAATAATGCTTCTGTGAACACATAATGTATGAATTTTTGTGTGGACATGTGGTTTACTTCTCTTGGGTATGTACTTAGGAGAGGAATTGCTGAGTACATTTGAACTTTTCGGTCTCAGTCCTTGTCTTTTCTCCCATTCAAATATTTCTCCTACCATCTCTCTAGCTAAATCCTCCTCCTCCTCCTCCAAGACTCAACTTACATCTTTCCTTATCCATTCAGCCACCCCATCCCCCTCAATTCAAGGTGATCCTTCTCTTTTCTGAACTTCTAAGGAATCTCTCTTTTTTGAAAAAGATTTTATTTATTTATTTGAGAGAGAGAGAATGAGAGAGAGAGAGCATGAGAAGGGGCAGGGTCAGAAGGAGAATCAGACTCCCCACTGAGTAGGGAGTCTGATGCGGGACTCAATCCCAGAACTCCAGGATCATGACCTGAGCTGAAGGCAGTCACTTAACTAACTGAGCCACCCAGGCGTCCCTCTAAGGAATTTCTTAATCTCTTACCTCTACTTGGTACTTCTTTCTTCCTACAAACATGTTGTGAGCACTGACTATCTTATTTCACTGGTTCTTAGACACCATTGCTTATCAGATGCATAGTTTTATTTTTATGTTCTTCTCAGAAGGAAATGCTATCAATTAAACTGAAATTCTGTCAATCGAAAGCACTTTCTGATTTCAGAAATATTAAAATGTGAAAAAAGTATGTTCTTTGAATTGATGAAAGGTGGTATTTCAAGTATGCTAGAATCTAGGGATAAAAAGATGAGTAGCAAGCAGACTCTGACTTGGAGAAAGGGGAAATACAGAATAATCACAATAGTCATTTATTGGAATGAAGCTAAGTACTCTGCATATTATTGTGAACATCTGATGTTTCTGTCACTCAGCATCCTATTCTCCTGGTAAAAGTGCCTGGAATTTTCTTTGGGAAATGTCTCTCCCAGCTGAGTGGTTTGAATGGGACTGTCCCCTGTCCCAGCTCCAGGAGAGGCAACATGATCTAGGCCTGGCCAGTAAGGTCTGTGTGTTCCTCTGGACCTGGTGACTGGTTCAGGAATAGGTGTCTGGCCCAAGATAGACCAATCAGAGTCCTCTCTGAGACATTTTGCCAGAACCATAAAAAAAGATGTCATCTGTGGTTTGGAACCACTAGCCAGAGACCGCGACAATCCAGAGCAGCATTGTCCAGCAGAATCTTCTGCAGTGATGGAAATATTCTCTATTCATGCTGTGCAGTAAAGTAGCCACTGGCCACATGTGACTATTAAGTGCTTGAAACGTGGCTAGTATGACAGAGGAGATAAATATTTCACTTCATTTCAATTAGTTTAATTTAAATAGCTTCATGTGACTAGTGGCTACCATATCAGACAGCACAGTTGTAGGACTTTGGTGGCTTTGCCTTGACATACGAATAGTCTGCCTATGAGTGACATCACCATTAAGGAAACAGCAAAGGGATGAAAGGAGTCAGATTCCTAATGACATCATTTGAGTTTCTGGATGCAGCCATCCAGATAGCCTACTGCTATCACATGCTTCATTCAGTCAACAAATATTTACTGAGTACCCACTATGCTGAGCATTACACAAAAATTAACAAAAAAGTCCAAAGATGCCTGTCCTCATGGAACTTATGTTCTAGTCAGGGAAGACAGACAACAAACAAATGGATATGTAAAATATATACTATGTCAGGTAGTGCTAGGTGCTGGGGATAAAAATAAACCTGACAGGGGCCATAGTGCCTGCTGGGATAGGGGTAGAAATTGAAATTGTCATCATAAGGTTTTTTTGGGGGAGTGTGGTGGAGGAGAGAGAGAGTCTTAAGCAGGCTCCATGCCCAGTGCAGAGCCCGAGGCGGGGCTTGATCTCACAACCCTGAGATCATGACCTGAGCTAAAATCAAGAGTTGGATGCTCAACCTACTGAGCCACCCAGGTGCCCCGAAATTGTCATTTTAAAGGTAGTGGTAAGGGAAAGCTTCACTGAGCTTATATTTGAGCAAATATTGGAAGCAGGTGAGGAAGACAGCTAAGGCTATGTCTGGGGCAAGGCCGTTCCAGGCAGAGGGAAAAAGCAGAAGGAAATAAGAAAACTCCCAAGGTGGGGTGCTCCCTCTCTAAAACAAACAAATAAATAAAATCTTTTTTTTTTTTTTAAAGATTTTATTTATTTATTTGACATAGAGAGAGATCACAAGTAGGCAGAGAGGCAGGCAGAGAGAGAGGGGGAAGCAGGCTCCCCGCTGAGCAGAGAGCCCGATGTGGGGCTCGATCCCAGGACCCTGAGATCATGACCTGAGCCGAAGGCAGAGGCTTAACCCTCTGAGCCACCCAGGTGCCCCTAAATAAAATCTTTAAAAAAAAAAAAAAAGAAAAGAAAACTGAGGTACGAAAATGTTTTGGGTGTACTAGAAGATCCATTTCCCTTGGTGTCTTTTTTTTCTGCTTAAGCCAATTGAGTTTGGTTTCTTTTTGCCCCCAAAATGTTTCTTTCTTTTTTTTTTTTTAAAGGATTTTATTTATTTATTTGACAGAGAGAGAGATCACAAGTAGGCAGAGAGGCAGGCAGAGACAGAGAGGGAGAAGCAGGCTCCCCACAGAGCAGAGAGCCTGATGTGGGGCTCGATCCCAGGAACCCTGAGACCATGACCTGAGCCGAAGGCAGAGGCTTAACCCACTGAGCCACCTAGGCACCCCCAAAATGTTTCTTGATTGATTCTTTGCTTACATCATTTGAGTTGGATGTCTATAAGGTGCATCTGGGAGAATCTTGACTAACCCAAGTGTGGTGGCCTGAATAATGGCTCCCAATGGTATTCCTAATCCCAGGTCCCAACCCTCAGCATCTTCGGATATAGTATTTTATATGGCACAAGGGACTGCAGATGTGATGAACTTAAGGATCCTGAGATGGGGAAATTATCTTGGATTATCTAGATGGGCCCTACATGTTTCCTTTTATAAATGCTCTCTCTGAAAAAGACCAGTATCTTTGTAAGAGGGAGGCAGAGGGAGATTTGGCACAGAATAAGTCAATGTGACCACTGACGCAAGATGCTATGCAGCTGGCTTCGAAGCTAGGAGAAGGGGCTGCAAGCATCTAGCTCTAGAAGTGGGAAAGGCCAGGAAATGGATTCTCCTGTGGAGCCTCTGGAGGGTGCTTGGCCCCGCCGATATCTTCATTTTGATCTGTGAAACTGATTTTGGACTTCTGACCTCCAGAAGTATAAAAGAAAATGTGTTGTTTTAAGCCACCGAGATCATGGTGGATTGTTAGAGCAGCCACAGGAACTACTGCCCCAGGGATGTCACTCACAGGGTTGTTGTGGGATTAGATGTGGTGATGCAGGGCAAGGCCTTGGCACCATGCAGGGATGTACTGAATGCTCAGTAAAGGGAGGCCTATAACTAGGACCCAGGGACCCAGCCTCTTGGCCATTTGACATCTTCCATCCCCCAACTCAAACCCTCGCCGTCCAAAGACACCACCAACCTGAATTGCCACTTCTGAAAAATTATCTCCTGTTTCTTGGAAAATTTCTCCCAGTCGGAAAATGGGACACTGTGGATTCTGAGTCTTGTGAAAGGTACAGGTGATGTTTATACTTGGCAAGATGTTTCTCCTGCATGAGAAGCAAGCAAGCAAACAAACATATTTTTGAAAACTGAGACCCATCTCTTTCATGGGAGTGACCCTGTTTGTGGCTGGGTTCCATGAGGGGCCCCGAGGATCCTCAGCCCCCGGGATTCACACCCTTGTGTGGTCCCCTCCCACCCTGTGCAGTGTCGATCTGTGCGACCGTTAGCATGTGGCAGAAGTGATGGTGTATCACTTCCAGGCTTAAGTCATAAAGCCTGTGGCTTCCATCTTGTTTACTGTCTTGCTGGCTTGTTGTCTGTCCCTCTTAGATCACTTGCTCTGGGGGAAGCCAGACACCATTCCCAAGGACACTCAAGCAGTCCTGGCGGAGGTCCGTATGGTGAGGAACTAAACCTCCTGCTGACAACCAGGTGAGTGAGCTTGGAAGAGGATTCTGGTCTCAGTCAAGCCAGAGATGACTGCAGTCCCTACTGACAGCTTGACTGCAACCTGAGAGACCCTGAATCAGAACCATCCATAGAAATCATTCCCACATTCCTTACCCCAGAAACTGCAGGAGACAGTAAATATTGGTTGTTAAACTTCTAAATTTTGGCATAATCCACTACACAGTAGTAGTGGCTAATGGCCAGACATTCTGGGCACTTACGTGGTGTAGTTGTGGCCAGGAAAGTCGATGTTATTCTTGATGAGCACAGTGAAGTTTTCGGCACTGTTCAAGAGCGCGGGCCTAAGAGAGAGGCGAAATGGGGATCATTGGGCCAATGGGACCATGGGCTTCCGGTTTCTGGCTTGGGTCATTGCAATGAGTAAAGAGAAATATAGTCTAGTAGGCAAAATTTTCCTAAAAATCTAAAAAAGAGGAAGAATGTCTCTCTTCCTGAGACCCCCATGGCATTTACTATAACCCTTCTCACACTCTGATGTAATTGTGTGTTTAGGATGTGTGGTGATATACTGGTAAATGGTTAACAGCCAGGTCTCCAGGGGGGAAGAAAAACTCTGATATGTAGCATTTACTGATTAGTGTAAGCACTCCCATCATGGCTGATCTCAAGCCACTAGTGGGTATCACTGAACTTGGAGTTGGGAAGGGATGAGCATAATTGGCTCAGAGTCAGTATAAGCCAACTTCAGCAGCCCCCTGTTTGTATCTTTCCCTGTAGGCTTGGATTCTTTCTATCTTGGCATCCCCAGCCTTAAGCATAGGGCCACACATGTATAGTTGGCTCTATCAGTCATAGGTTGATAGGCTCTGGGTAGCATAAATTCTCCATGAGTTAGAGGAGCCCAAATCCTAGACTTTAGGAAGGTCCACCCACAACCCATTGATTCATTCATTTGACAAATATTTATTGGCCTGGGCATGGGGCTGGGCACTGGGAATATAGTGATGAACAAGATAGTCAAGGTTCTTGTCCTTATGCCATTGACAGTCTGCTAAAGATGGAGAGAATTGGCTGTGGATGAAGAGTTACAGCTGGTACCTTATTGTTGGCAGGCCTGAGTGGGTGGCAGATATATATAATGGGAGTAGCACCAGGAAAGGATGGAGGTATTTGGAAGGGGGCACCAAAAATGATCTGCTTTTTATTCCAGAATTGCCAGAGCCCAGCTTTGCCTCTATTTAGGATATAACTATAGAGAACACTATAGGTTTTGCCTGCCCAGCATCCATTCCCCTCTGTTAGAAGCGCCTCAGTTTTCTCCCTTTGAGATAACCAGGTCTTTGCCACTCTCAGCCCGGAGGTTTGGGTGGGGAGGTGTCCATTTTCTGTCCATCCTTATAGACCCCAGGGTGGACAAGTGACCCAGAGCTGGCTAAACAGAATAACCCAGTCCTTTCATGGCTATAGTAATTGGTCGATAGATTGTCATATGATTTAAGCCAATGAAAACATTCTAGGACTTTTGTAGGAAATACTGGAAAAAGAAAAACTCATTTTCTTTAGGATTGCTAGTAGTAAAGACAGTGTAAACCTGGGGTTCCCTGGACCACAGTGTGAGGAAAGCCAAAACAGAAGAAAGAATAACTGGGGGGGTGGGATGGGGTTGGGGATTGGAAGAAACAGAAAGAAAAAGAATCTTAATGACATCATTTTTATTTGAAGCCTGGATCAAGCCTTACCTGAAGCTAATACTTCTGGACTCCTCATTTACAGAAATTTTATTTTATTTTATTTTTAAAGATTTTATTTACTTATTTGACAGACAGAGATCACAAGTAGGCAGAGAGGCAGGTGGGTGGGGGGTAGTAGGCTCGCCACTGAGCAGAGAGCCCAATGTGGGGCTTGATCCCAGGACCCTGGGATCATGACCTGAGCCGAAGGCAGAGGCTTTAACCCACTGAGCCAACTAAGTGCCCCAGAAATTTTAAAAAATAATGATAACATTGTCTTTTTTCCTGAAGCCAGTTTAAGTTGTATTTCTGACATTTGCATCAAAAAAAATCTTATTTACACAGATACCTACCACATGCTAGACCGTTTACCTTTAGAACATTCTAAATCCCATGCTTCCTGGGCACCATTCTAAGAATAAGAGGACTTGAAACTTGAAGGATCAAAGCCCTTTATTCTTCTCTTATGATATTTTTAACTTTCTTCCTTGAATTATAGCTCTCTGTGCACATGGCTTACCTCCGATTAGACTGCAAAAGGCTTGGGATCTACTCTCTGTCTGAGTCTGCTTGTATTTTTAGCACAGTCTCTTGTGCATAGTTACATACAGAATAAATATCTAATACCTCCTATGTGGTATTGGATGCGTTGACTGAATGATTAAATGAATAATTTTAGTAATCCCTTTGCATAACATACAAGGAAACTAAAGTTCAGGGGATTGCTTGCTCAAGGTCATATAAAACTGTGCAGTCCAAGGACCTGCACTTTGGAGATGCCCAGTATTTCTCTGATGAATAAGTTGGCGACTGAAAACTGTTAGGGCCAATTTAATGTTAAAACCTGTTTAACTGGGGCGCCTGGGTGGCTCAGTGGGTTAAGCCGCTGCCTTCGGCTCAGGTCATGATCTCGGGGTCCTGGGATCGAGTCCCGCGTCGGGCTCTCTGCTCAGCAGGGAGCCTGCTTCCCTCTCTCTCTCTCTCTCTCTCTCTCTGCCTGCCTCTCTGTCTACTTGTGATCTCTCTCTGTCAAATAAATAAATAAAATCTTTTAAAAAAAAAAAAAACTGTTTAACTATTAGGGCCTGCTTAGCCAGAGCAACTCTATATTGCCTAGGTAGCCATATTGTTGTTTACATCCACGGACTTCATTCCGGGAATAAACGCCCCAGTAGTTCCTGGTATGGTTCCGGGTATCGATTCCGGGAGTAAACGCCTTAACAATACAAGCCACATACCTTGGGTCTGCGGTTATGCCCTATAAAACCAGCCTATGAGATCAGGAGGGGGTCGCTCTCTTCGGAGGCGGCCCTGGCCGGTCAGTCTGACTTCTGATACTTGGCATAGAATAAAGCTCTACATAACTTTCACTTTGTCTCAGTCTCGTTCCCCTGGCAGGTCAGTCTAACTTCTAATGCTTGGCATAGAATAATAAGGCTTTGCATAACTTTCACTTTGTCTCAGTCTCGTTCCTTTGATAACGGACACCAACAAAAACTACAGGCAATCAAGAGGCCTCTTGCCTTGAACCGATAGTTCCCTCAGGCCCTGGGCAATTCTTTCCGTGAAAAAGAAACTTCTCTGACCTAGAAATAAACCTGGGTGGTGCCATTGATGATTGAGGACTGGACGGGCTGACGCTACCAAACACTTCCCACCCTGACAAGGGAAGCCTTTGCCTGGACCTTCTAAAAAGTCACCTTGGGGCAATCTTCTCTTTGCCCCAAAGATGCCGATGGTGTGGTTTTGAGTCGCATTCATTAGAGCTGTGTTCTCCTGTATAATATCCCCTAGACATGTGTGACTATTAAAATTGAACTTATATTAAAAATTCAGTTGCTCAGTTGCAGTCACCACATTTTAAAGTGCCCAATGGCCACATGTACCTAGTGGCTACCATATTGGACAGTGCAGGTACAGAACATTTTCACCATTGCAGAAAGTTCCATTGCACAGTGCTGGTCTAGAACCACCACACTTCTAGGGGCGGATCATTTGTGTGTGTGTGTGTGTGTGTGTGTGTGCGTGCGCGCGCGCACGCGCACACGCATTATTCAACACTTACGATAAACTAGGCATGGGGCTCACTTTGCTTTTGAGGTACAAGTATCATCTCATTGAATTCTCATGACAGCCCTATGAGTGGGAGCAACTATTTATCCTCATTTTAGAAATAAGGAAAATGAAGCTCAGAAAGGTTAAACTGCTTGCTCAAGGTCACACAGTGAGGAAGTGTTAGAGTCAGAATTTGAATCCAGGTCTCTCTGTTCTTCTGCTGAAAGTACCAATCCCTGTGGTTTCTGAGATTTAACATCAAGTTCTGTTTTCTGGGCCTGACTTTGTGTGTTAAAGAGAAGAATCAACAAAAAGGATCAACAAATCTGTATGTCATTGTGACCACTTAATTTAAGAAAACTTCTCTTCTCTCCCTACCTCCCTTACTCTTTCCTCCTCTTTCCTTTCCCCTTCACTTCCCCTTTCTTCCTTTTTCCTTTCCTCCCTCCCTTCCTGCCACCTTCCCATCCTTAATTGCTCAGTATGGACACCGACCAGTCAGAGTGGGACCTGCTGTACTGCTAGAGGAGGGCTCCAGAGGTGCTTTGTAAGGTGCTGGGACAGTCAGGGGCCCAGGGTTAACCAAGGGTGCTCAGGGTAATAGTTATATACCAGTCAGTACAGAATTATTGCAGTATTTTAACAATTAGCATGGCCTTCTCGGAGATCACTGGTGTGCCAAGTCAATAGGACCCAGGACTTTTCATCTGCTCAATGATCAGGGCCACCCCATCTCCCCCCATCCCCCGCAGCTCACCGGGGGGGCTCTCCCACTTCCTCGACGGGACACCAGGCGGAGACTTCACAGGTCTTCAGCCTTTCTTTATACACTACACACCTTCCGGTCTGGATCCCTGGTGGGGAGGTGGGGAGGGCCAAGGGACCAGAGAAGCACAGGTATGAAAACCGTGGGTGCGTCATGAACTAAACCCAAGCAAGAGACTCTTTATTTATCCTTTTCAACCCAAGCAGTTTCAGCTTCCACGAAACCCCATTTGAACCACCAACTTACATAAGGCAACCCAAGCAAAGCGCACATTGGACTATAAGCTCTTTTAAAAAAAAGATTCAGAGAGAAGGCAGAGAGGTTGTGGATGCTGTTGGCTTTTTTGGTTTCTTTGCAAGAAAATATGCTGAGAGAGGAGCTGAGCAGGGTGTGTTCTCTTGCCTGGCATACGTGGACTAGAACTTGGCATCTAAGTGGGCACCAGAGTCCCTTAGGGGTGTACAGCATGAATCAGGGGTGTGCAAAGTCACAGAATGAACGTGGCATATTTTCTGGAGCGTTCGTGTCACTAGCAGATTCCCGAGCGGCAAATTAAATAGTAAGTCGTGTTTGAATGGTCTCTGTACCAACTCAAACACACATGTCTTATGGAACAAAATGTAACATCCATAGGCCTTTTTTGTGTATGCATGTGTGTTGTAACCACTGATGGCTTTATCTTTTTTGTGGTCTTTTTTTTTTTTTATTGTCATGTGACTCTTTAAGTTAAAACGAGGGATACAGAAATACTATAGATTAGTGGTGGTACCATGGTCCTAGGCACCCTGGGCCTATAATTCATACTCCTCAACCTTTGGTGAAATTTGAGGGGGAAAGCTCAGCATACACAGATGGCACTGGGGGCCATTGGATTTTTTTGTCAATGAGAACCCCTAAGATGCTAATTCTGAAGGATTTCAGGAGCTGCCCTCACTAGGGAATTAGATCACATTGCTAGACAGTAGCCAGTCTTCTGGGGACAGAGCAGAGGCATGGGACGGACACAGGCTCTCCCATGGCCTAGTGAGGGTGGAAAAAGGCAGCTGAGAGTCAGAAGCTAAAGATTTGAACTTTAAGGCCTTGTGAATGTCACCAGGGTACCAGACCACCCCCCCCACCCGGGATCCCAGAAAAGAAACAGAACATACCTTTGCTCTGCGGGTCCATCCGTCCCTCTTTACAATTCTTGTCAGAGGAACAGATTGTCCTCCTGGTGGGAAACTGCAGGGAGAAGGACAGGATAGTGGTGAGTAAGCAGCATGTGTCTCTTAAGATACAGAAAAGCAAATGCCTCTGTACACACCAGAACTTGTACACAAATGTTCACAGCAGCACCATTCACAGCAGCCGAAAAGTAGAAACAACCCAAATAGTCATCAGGACAAAAAAATAGTAGTGCATTCATAAAATGCATATAACATGGCCATAAAAAGGAAGGAGGCACGGATTCCTGCTACAACACGACAATGCTTCAAGATGCGATGCCGCGTGGAAAGAAGCCCCCAAAGGCCACGTATTGTATGATCTCAATGATACGAAATACCCAGAATAGACAGAAAGTAGATCAGTGCTTGCCACAGGCTGAGGGAAGGAGGGGATGGGAGTGACTGCTCATGAGTACGGGACTTCTTTTTGGCGTGATGAAAATGTCCCAGAATTAGGACGTGGTGTAGTGGTACAACATTGTGAAAATATGAAAAACCCCTCATTTCTTCACTTCAAAATGGAGGACTTTATGGCATCTGAGTTACATGTCAATAAGAAATAAAAATAAAAATCTGAAAAGCAGATGCCAAAGCAGCCAGGTGCCACTTTCAGGGAAAGCCTCCCGGGCTGGAGGGCAGGAGGCCTGGTCCAAGCAGCGCTTGACTGCAGAACTGGGCAGAGCCACCAGCGCTTCCTCCTGGCCTCAGAAAATGAGGTCAGCTAGGTCTCAGGCCTGAGGACAGAAGGAAGAAAGGAGAAATTCGATGACTCGTTTATGCACATTTGAGTTTCTGTGTTCTAGGGAGCAGGTTTAATGGCCAGTCTTAGGGGAACCAGGGCCTGACCGTAGTGTGAAAATGGCCTCTGCCCATCAGCTTCCTCTGACCTGTGCCCCCTCCAGAAGCTCTTCTTACCCGCCCCGACCACACCAGGTCCCCTCCTTACGTCAGGACATCTCCCCTGCTGTTGGCCTTCTGTCTTGAGAAAGTTTGTCATCACGAAGAAGGAGTTTCCCTGCGGAGAAAGAGGAGAGGAGACAAATGCCAGGCCTTGGAGAGCAGAGTTACTTCGTCAAAAATCCAGGCTGCTCAGTGCCTGGGGGCGAGTCTTCCACTTTTCTGAACCACACTCTAGAAATCAGGTCTGGGAGCAACTTGGACTGCACTGAGGGCTTAGTATCAAAGCTGGATGAACCGCCCCGCTGAGCTGAAGGAGAGCAAAGGGACATTCGGAACTGATTGAGCATTCATTTTCCATCCCAGCCTCAAAAGCATCCTTGTCATTTTTCGCACACAATAAAATCACATTAAATCGAAACTTAAGAGACCTGCTGGGGGAGGGCAGTGGGGTGTTGGCGTCATCAGAACACTGTTCAGATTATCCAGGATTCTTTTTTTCAGGATTTTAATTAAAGGGCAAAAGGCAGCCCATAACCCAGGAAATAGCTGGAGATCTTACTGAACCCTCTGGTAGAAACAAATAGTGGCCTGGGTTTTACGGTTTTGCAAAGCACCCCCGCTCCCAGATGCTGCAGAAGTGCCCCGTTGTCCCTCCCAGCCTCCCAGTCTGTTCTTTGGTGTTCTCGTTCCTGCTTTGATTCTCCTTTTTGACTATTCTACTTTTATTTTGTCTTCTCGCAAATTTAAGCAGCCGGATAGCCTCTCCCTGTTGACCCACACCCTTCCTTTCTTTGTCATCCATTTCCTTTCCCTTGTGCAAGAATGTATCTGAGTGAGTGGTTTTTCTTTTTCTGGAGATATTTTTGTTGATAAAACTCCACATGAACAATTTAGAAGGGTCTGTCCTGTCCGGGCAGGAAGTTCTTTGTCCTCCTGAATCTAGGCAGACCTTGCCGGCTTGATGGCCCTGCTTCTAAAGAGCTGTGTATAAGTCAAGTTGTGAGTGAATCAAATCATGCTTTAAATGCACCAGATCACACTGCTATTTTGAGAAACCCCGTAGGACTCGATAAAGCATAGAATCATCTTTGAGCTGCTGGATCTGACCCAATTTTGCAATTTTTAGGTTTTCTCAGTTGGGATTTTCACAGAGCTTTTTAAAATAGGGCCAGTGTTTTTTTGGCCTGAGGCTCCGGGTCCCAGGGGAGGGAGGCAGGGCCCTTGGTGACCAGGGAGGAGTCTTTGAGAGTTGGTGACAAGAGCTCACCTGCAGGGGGAAGGTGTAATCTGCGGTGTCAAAGACTTCAGACACCACCTTCTTCATTCCATTCTCCAGTATCTCCGCCTTCACCTCTGCTATCCCTTTCACCTTGGTGTGCACGGAGCTGATGACAGGCTCTTTCTTTTGGTACCGCTTGTCACTGATCAAAGCAAAGCTAAACGGCAGACACAGAAAAGCATCAGTGGTTTTCTCAAGGGAGGCACAGGGCAGTGGTGTTGGATGCGGGTTCTGAAGGCTGCCTCCATTCACATCCTAGCTTCGCTGGGTGACTTTGGGCAGGCTACCTGCCTGCGTTCTCCGTGACTCACTTTCCTTGGCTGTAAAGTGGCAAGAATCATCGTACCTACCTCAGGGCTGGTTGTGAGGATGAAATGAGGTATGTGTGCAAACTCATCAACATCGTATCTGGCACCTGCGAGCACTCACCGCATGGAAACGATTGCCCCCAATGTCAGTCTCCAGTATTGCCCAATACAGACCCTCATTTACAGGGCAGTCTCTCCCATGCCAGAGTCCAGCCCCAGATTGGTCCACCGGCTTTATCCTGGGGCTGAGGAACACACCAATACCTAAGGATGTGTCCAGCAGGTCAGCCCCATTTTTTCCAGAAACATCCACCTGGTTTATAATTAATATTGATCATAGCAGCTGCCCTTTATTGAGCAATTAGTACATGCCAAGTGCTCTCCATGCATCATCTGTTTACTCTTCACAGCAGTAGGAGATAGTTACTGTAGTCATCCCTTTTGTAGATGAGAGAATGGGCTCAGAGAGATACAGCTCGTCATGGGCAGAACTGAGGTCCTCAGCCAGACCTCTTAACCACATATGGCACAGTGTGATGTAAAGTTTAAAGAAATCCAAAACAGGGACGCCTGGGTGGCTCAGTTGGTTAAGCGGCTGCCTTCGGCTCAGGTCATGATCCCAGCGTCCTGGGATCGAGTCCCACATCGGGCTCCTTGCTCATCAGGGAGCCTGCTTCTCCCTCTGCCTCTGCCTGCCATTCTGTCTGCCTGTGCTTGCTCTCTCTCCCTCTCTCTCTCTGACAAATAAATAAATAAAATCTTAAAAAAAAAAAAAAAAAGAAATCCAAAACAACATTCTACACTCAGACAAATGCCTGTCCACTCATGCTCCTAGCAGCACTATTCATAATAGCCAAAAGATGGACATAGCCCACAACATTCTACACTCAGACAAATGCCTGTCCACGCATGCTCATAGCAGCACTATTCATAATAGCCAAAAGATGGACATAGCCCACATGTTCAGCAGTAGATGAACAGATAAACAGAATGTGGTCTACCTATACGATGAACTATTATTCAGCTAGACAAAGGAATAGAGTACTGAAACATGCTATACTGTGCAGGAACCTCAAAAACATTATGCTAAGTAAAAGAAGACAGATACAAGAGGCCACATGTTGTATGATCCCATTTATGTGAAATAATCCAGAATGGGTAAATCCACAGCAACGGAGAGTTGACTGATGGGTACCAGGGACTGGGTAGCCGGAGTGACTATGAATGTGTGTGGTTTCCTTTTGGAGTGCTGAAAATGTTTTGAAACTAGATAGAGGTGGTGGACCCCAACAAGGTGTTATTTAGTGCCACTGACTTGATCACTTTAAAATGGTTATTTCAGGGGCGCCTGGGTGGCTCAGTGGGTTAAAGCCTCTGCCTTCAGCTCAGGTCATGATCCCAGGGTCCTGGGATGGAGCCCCGCATCAGGCTCTCTGCTCCGAAGGGAGAGCCTGCTTCCTTCTCTCTCTCTGCCTGCCTCTCTGCCTACTTGTGATCTCTGTCAAATAAATAAATAAAATCTTTAAAAAAAAATTTAAAAAAATAAAATGGTTATTTCATAGTATATGAATCCCACCCCAATAAAGAAAGGAAAAAAACGTTTTTTAATCCATAGACATATGTTGTAGAACTGTAAGAACAAACACAGAATGGCAAACACCAAATTCAGGAGGTGTTTATAAGAGGAAAGAAAAGGGAGTGGGATCCAGGCTGGGTCTGCAGGGAGCTAAAACTGGATTAATAATGTTTTTATTTCTTAAATTAGATGGTGGTACATGGGTGTTTATGATATTATTGCCATATATTTTAGTATATATATATATACTATTCATTGAAAGAGCAAGTTCATCAGGGGCCCCTGGCCGACTCAGTCTGTGGAATGTGTGTGGTTTTGGATCTTGAGATTACTCAAAAGTAAAATCCTGGGGCGCCTGGGTGGCTCAGTCGTTAAGAGTCTGCCTTCAGCTCAGGTCATGATCCCAAGGTCCTGGGATCAAGCCCCGCATCGGGCTCCCTGCTCCCCGGGAAGCCTGCTTCTCCCTCTCCCACTCCCCCTGCTTATGTTCCCTCTCTTTCTGGGTCTCTCTCTCCTTCAAATGAATAAATAAATCCTTAAAAAAAATCCTAAGGAAAATAAAAGAAAAAAAATCTCATCAAGAAGGACACTGGAGGGCGCCTGGGTGGCTCAGTGGGTTGGGCCTCTGCCTTTGGCTCAGGTCATGATCTCAGAGTCCTGGGATCGAGCCCTGCGTTGGGCTCCCTGCTCAGCGGGGAGTCTGCTTCTCCCTCTGACCCTCCCCTCTCATACTCTCTCTCTCTTTCTCTGTCAAATATATAAATAAAATCTTAAAAAAAAATTAAAAATTAAAGAAAAAGAAGGACATTGGAACTAGAGATCCAGATTTTAGGTCCCATCAGCATATATGAGAAAGAGCTATGACATTCAATTCCATAGACAAATATACTTGTTCGACAGTGTATTTCAGCCCGGCATCACAGTATGAACATGGTCTGTGCAGTGTCCTGTGTCCGACATGGTGACATGCTCCCAGAATAACCCTGTTTGGCCCACCATTTGGGAAGCTCAGTTTGAGTGTGTCATCTTCATTTCAGGCACACAACGTATTATAGATCAGCTGTAATGGAATCCAACCCTCTCATAAGTCAGAAAACTAGTCTTTGTATGGTAATGAACTTGTCATGCAAGAGCTGCATCAAAGGAAAAAAAGAAGAAAAGAGTTGACCATATTCTGCCCTAACGACCGTCCCCAAGACTCAGACAAGCCATGTCACCTCTAGCCATGGGTGTAGTCCCACGGGAACAAGGGGAGGGCTGCCTGGCTCCCAGATCCCTGTGAACTTTCAGCTAGAAGAAGCTACAGTTCTGTGCATGCTGAAGACTGAAAACCCACGGGTCCCTCTGGTGCGTGGGCAGGAAGGAGCTGGGGGCTTATGGACTCCTTGGAGGATGGGGAGAAAGAGAAGGTGTGGTGGAAAGCTGACGAACCTGGGAAGGTCAAAGAGGACTAATGGGAAGGGTAGTGGGCACTCAAGGCAGGTGTGGCTTCAGAAGGGGGGCTGCAGAGGGATAGGGAGGAGGGAAGGACAGAGAATGAGCTCAGCTGTGGAGCTCTGAGGCTTGCACACAGCTCCGACTCAACAGGTGTAGATGAAGGTGTCCACCGTGAAGAGGACTTGCACACCCTGGATATGAAGGGCTTTCTCTTATTGGCACCTTAGGGGGCCCCATGCCAGCGTGGTGAGAGAGTCCTCAAAGGGCCTCAGGCCGGGAAGCACAGCTCAGCAAAGCCTGACTCTCCCTCACAGCTCCTGGGCTCACTGAGTAAAGGTAAAGCAAAAGGATGGGATCTGAAAGTGAACCACCCCAGATCTGGGTAACTGACACTTAGCTCAAGGCCAATGTTTTCTTGGCCCCTAAAGGGAATGCGGGCCCTGGGCACTGTGTGCCCTGGGGCTCATGGAGAAGTTGGGCCCACAGCCACTGCTTTTTGTGTTTAAAACCCCAAGGGAAGAATCCAGTTATTTTCATCCCTGCCCTACTCAGCGGTGGGATGAGGTCTGCGAGGGGTCAAGGACAGCAACAGATGCACTGAGAAGAAAGTGGAGGAGAGCTTGCACCCCCAAGGCAAATTAAGTACCACCTGTATTAGTTTTCCATTGCTCCTGTAACAGATTCCCACAAACTTAGTGTCTTGATAGAAATTTATTCTCTTAGTTCTGAGGGTCAGATACCTAAAAATGGTCTTATGGGGCTGAAATCAAGGTGACTTCTGGGGGCTGGTTCCTTCTGGAAGCTCCATGAGACAATCTGTTCCTCATCTTTTCCAGCTTCTAGAAGCTGCCTTGGCATTCCTGAGCTCCTAGCCCCATCACTCCAACATCAGCTCCCATTGTCATATCTCCTTTTTCCAGCTTTGGCCCTCTTGCTTCTCTCTTTTGAGTACTTTTGTGATTATGTTGGGGACGCTCAGATAATCAAGGATAATCTCCCCATCTCAAGACCTTGAACTCAATTACATCAATTACTTAATTACAAAAGTTCCTTTTGCCCATACAGATTCACAGGTCCTGGGGATTGGGAGTGGAAATCTTTTGCGGGCCATTATTTAGCCTACCCCAATACAGTTGGCCTGTTGTAGCTTTACAAGAGCCCTCCCGCATTCCACCTTACGCCATCGTTTCCTGAGCTAGAGTGAAGGAGTTTCAGTTTCTTGTTACCCACGGCTTAGCTACAACGTCATCTTCACTTCTAATTTCCTTTGGCTATTGCATTTCTTTTCCATCAGCCAACACTTCTGGAAAACCCTTCCTTATAATGTTTCCCAAATACTCTCTCTCATTCAAAGATCATGTACTCCAGAATACAGTACTTTCTACACATTCAACTACATGGAGAACAGCGAGTGAATCTTAATCTATTAGTTAAAGTTTATCAGTTGGAGGAAAAATAATGGATACATGTAAAATCCTAACCTTGAACCAAAAAACTCAGTTATGCCAGTACAAACCAGAGCCCACCCAAGTGGCAGAAGTTTATGTTAGAGGCCTGAACATTTTAGATAATCCTGAGCCCATATGAACCAACATTATGTTACATCATCCAGAAGAAGACAAAACAGCAAAACAAATAATTAGTGTAATCTTAAGCTTCAGTGAAAGAAGTAAAATATTTCACTCTTGGGTGGTGGTGAGCCAGTGGCTTATGTCCATGGTAGGCAGCAAGCTGTAAGAGCCCTGTGTTTGGGTTTTATGAGACATATTTTTCAAGAAAACCCTGTTAATTGTTGTAAAAGTGTAAATTTCACAGAACTGCACAAAGAATATGAAA